CCTTACATAATGACGTAGATGAAGCTTTGACAAATACAGGGTGATCCGATTGCAGATATCTCAATTGTGTGTAGGACATTTATATACCGAAATATTTTGAAGTTTCTATTGCAGGATTCCTTCGCTCTGCGCTAGAGGAAATAACACGATTTCATTTTTTAAAAACCTTTTTCCAACTTCAATGCTGTTCTGCTAGTGGGGTGTAGTCAAGCTTCTGGGTATGCAATTACAATCTCGGGGGCTACACTCAACTCCTCTTTTTTTTATCCACGTTTCGTACACTTGAAAAGTGAGCAAGATACGGTAACCAACTTGTGTGGAGCCGTGGGTAACGGCTTAAAGAGTGAAAGCTGCTGCGGAGCCACTACGACGGAATAAGTAAAGGTTCGCTGAAGTCTAATTGCAGCGTCTGTTTACCAGAGAGGCTACGAGCAGACGTCGGTCTTGAAGCAAGCGGCTCGGAATATAAATGTGTAAGATATCTTAAACTTATTCGCCTAGCGAGGTTATGCGCTGAGTTTGGGACGAATTAAGGAGCACCGTTTGAGGACATGCGCCTTGAATGTCTGCTCTTTTAATTAGGAATGTGCGATTGCGCATTTGGTTGATGTACTCGATATAAAGGATGGCATATCTCCCGTCAAAGAAGTGCGACGAACGGAACAGGGAGAGAAACGTATAGGATCCTGTAACATTTACTACAGCGGCCATATAGGGTAGTGCAAATTTGGTGTCGAATTCGTGATGGGAGAGAGACTCCAGACTAAGTTGGCACCGTATGAGTTCTTATTTTTTCCGTAAATAAATAATAAACTGAGAGTTAAACGTTTTTCAGCCTGAAGAAGCGGTTGAGGCGTGCAGAATGTATCTTTTCGAGATACCTCAATCAGAATGGCAAAAGTGCTTCGAAAATTGGTTCAAACGCATGCAAAAACTCTACTAGGCGCTCATCATACCCATACTACTATATGGCGCAGAAGCGAGTACGATGCCGACAACTGCTGAGTGGAGCTTGGGAGTTATCGAGAGAAAAGTTCTGCGAACGATTTATGGTCAACAGCGAATTCTGCAGTCGATGGTACGATGAGTTGTATGAAAATATGCTGACTACGTCATGCCGTCCGAATGGATGAAAGCACTTCATCTTTGAAAGTATTCGATGTAGTACCCGATGATGGAAGCAGTATCGTTGAAAGGATCAGATGTAGAGCGATCTAGTTTCACTTGATACTTTCAACTGGCGCCAAACAGCGAAAAGAAGAGCTGAATGGCGCGCTATATTCATGATATTGATTCGGTTATAAACGCGTAAGCGGTGTCAACGACAACTAAGAAGAAGAAGAAACATGATAAGGGTTTATGGATTATTATTTGTTTTTGCTTAAGAAATCCCTCGTATAAAGTCGCTTTACATGATTTCTCATTGGCTTCCCATCAGGTTTTTTCGTAAAAAAGTGCATGTCCATTTCAGAATGAAAAGGACTTGGAGAGAACTTCATGGGTAGATCTCAGAGGAATGAATACGCAGTTGGAAAGTTTCTAGACTTTTCAGTGCTGGTCAACCCATTATAAAAACTTAAGGACATTTAACTAAGCAGAAACGCTTAGAACAGACAAATTGGTGAAAGGACGTGCTTGAAAATAGACAGACTAACAAATGGAAATGAAAGAAATAATAAGACGGCAATATATATGTATATATAAGAATATATATTAGGGTAAGCTCAAAGTTTAAATACTAAAAATTTTAAATTTACGAAGCCAACGTTTTTTTTTTTTTTTTTTTTTTAAATTCCAATACACAAATTTATTCATACGGAGAGTGTGAAAAACTGTCTTCAAACCATTTAAAAATTTTAAATTTCCTTTCTCAAAATTTTTCTTTTTTTCTGAGTACTCACGCATTCGCTCGTTAATAGACGAAATTGTTATTCAAATTTTGATTTTTTTACGTTAAGCCATTTCTTTAATAAAATATTCATTTTAACTTTTTTAATAAAAAAAAAACTTTTCTCAGCTGTATCTTGATCGCTTCGTACAACATTAGGGCGCACGGACTTTTTTACTGTTACGTGAGCCTAAAATGTAGCAGTTTTGCTTCTTAAAGGAGCTGCTAAGGAGGTCTTTATGCAAAAACTTGTGAAAAAACTGCGTGAAATTTTCAAGTCCTACGAACGGTTTCAAGTTGCTGTTGATGGTTGCTCGAACATTGAGCAACAGCACCAAGATCATACCCAGAGCGCACTGAACGATCACGTACGCGAGTGGTTTTGTCCACAAACTGTCTGAAAGTCTCATCGTTTTGAAAGAGAGTTTTCTATATTCAACTTAACTCTTCCAGCTTAAACTTAACCATCTCGTAAGCCACGAACCTTGTACTCAATATTTCACGTCTCGGGAATGTACTTCATGATGTCAAAGCTGCAATAAGCCGCAGTTCGAAAAGCAGTCGGTATATGGTCGCCTTTTACAAGTGAAGTTTATTATATTACATATACGCCCTGACACACTCAGCACATATCTACAAGAGAGCGTTTGAGCCATAATGTATGAGATCTCATTGGTTTACAGCAGCACTTGTCCGGGAAAAACATGATGTACAAGTGGCACAGTTTAATAGCGCAAAGGAGGCAGCCTTTGAAGATGACCTGATGTAGAACAAGAGCATCGACGTGTGATCACGGCAGAGCTTAACCAAAAAGTTGAAACAAACTGTCTCCAACGATGCCCGACTGTAGAAGAAAAAACTCGCAGAAGTGGTAAGAGTATTAGATTAAACCATTTCCAACTGTCATCTTGTCATAAATAAGGTGTGTCGCGAAAATGCTCACTTCTTCTTCTTCTTTCCGCAATTCATTTCTTTTTTCGCTGTTTGGCGCCAATTGGAAATACCAATTACTGCCAGGTCCTTCTCTACCTGGTCTTTCCAACGGAGTGGAGGTCTTCCCAAAATTATGACTGTCAATAAATACGTGGGAGCCAAGTCGCGAATGTTTAATGACAGGAGATATTTCGTCTTGGCCATTCGCTTCGCTTCTTTATCCTGGAGAAAGCACATGGCGCGGTTGTTGAGGACGATAATGTCAATATTATCGGCTTATGCCAGTAGTAGTACACTCTTATAAAGGATTGTATCTTCTCTATTCAGCTCTGCAGCTCTTATTAGATTGTTGACAGTGAGCTCTAGGCCATATTTGGGAGGCTTAACCCACGGTATTAAGCGCAGACTATTGGGTAACCTTTTTAATAGTTTGGATAGAGCACACTTAAGTTCCAGTCGTCGAGCATGCCTTCGTCCGACCATAAGTACCTGATTCATGCACCTTGTCAGCTCTTCACCGCCATATTTGAATGGCTCTATCGGTATGCCGTGAGCTCCGACCGCTTTGTTGTTCTTTAAGCGGGCAATTGCTAATCGAACCTCGGCATAGTCGAGTAGTAGAACGTCTTATCCATCGTCATCGGTTGAGATTTCGGGTTCGCCACCTCCCTCAATTTTATTCTCACAGCGATTCAGCAGGCTGGAGTAGAAGAAAATGACCAAACTTCCACAAAAACAGCAACGCGTAGGGACTTTTATAATCAAGAGAAACTTTGGGTCACATTGCATAAGCTGAGCTTTTTCGATTTTTGAAATCACACATCCTACAGGATGGACATGGCTCAGAGTGATTATTAACTGCCTCAAAAAAGCTGAGAGGTAAAACATTTGGAAACATTTTTATGATTATATAGATATATTAACTGAAGGATCTGACGAATACAACCGTCGTGCAGGTGAGTGTATTGAAAAGAAAAAATTAATTTTGTATTTTTATTTCCACCTCGTATCCCCTTTTCCATGAACACAAACACGTTACGGCGCTGGTTGTCTTCCCGTGGAAACTCGTTTCGAAAAAGTGCCATTCCAAAACAATTTATAACTACTGAACACCCTAATGCTTGTGCTCTAATAAGTTATGTGGATTTGTATTTTGATAAACATATGTATATATATATGCATTTATATGTATCTGCGGTTACAAAATGGGTGAATTCAAAGCTTTTGGTTTTGATAATGAAGTGCACTTTGGCGCCGCCTCAACGTCAATATTCGAACAAACCCATCTGAAAGTTATATACTCATACATATATAATATATATATATATGTGTGTTGGTATATTTGAATTAGAAAATTCAAAGTAGTGAAACACTTTCCAATAGAGAGACGACACTTTCACATACGCCCCTAGCCAGACACATGCCCGCGGCCATTCTCACATATGTATGTAGTATAAACATAAATCTTTATATATATACCTACATTCATACATATATATGTGAGCATATTTACGCAGCTAAAGGCATATTTGCGCTCTCATATGTGCACTCAGAGTCAAGTATATATACATACACACACACACACACACACATGCAAACTGGTATGCAACGGTAGTTAAACCAAACACTTTTGGGAGCGAATGCACCGAATAACTGTAAATTAAATTCATGCACTCCTGCTGCTGGCTGTTACCTCAACTAAGCCGCTATTATACATTCACCAAACCAAACACCTACATACTCCTACACACACATACTCGCCTTCATATACTTACACTTTACTTTTCAGTGCAGTTTAGAAGCGTTTACCGCACGGATTTGACACTTGCACTGCAACTGCTGAATTACGCTTGCATAAAATTTTATACTCATCCATGCATACACACATACACGTACATACATAAAAAAAATCCGAATACCCATGTGTGTATTAATGTTTGTAGGTTTGCATTCGTCTGAACGCCTGTAGCTATATATGTACATACGCCCATATATATTTTGTATTAAATTGTCTACGTTTGTGGTCGTAAATGCAGGCAGACAAAGTTTAAAAACTGAAATATTTGTAAATATGTGTGTATGGCTGAGTATCTGTCAGTGTGCATCTGCTATGGGACTTCATGCCTACATAGGTGTACATATATACATACATGCGAGTATATGTATTAGTAATACTTACGTTGTATCCTCAGTAGAATCGTAATTTGTTCCGAATCAGCAAAAGTTGGTGTGATTCTCATTGCACGACACGTGTATTCACCAGCATCCGATTGCTGTACATACTTGATGAAGAGTCCATCGGAGAGTTTTTTGTATTTCGTTGAGTTGACGGCTACGTGGAGGAGTTCAATGAAAAAAAAAATATTATATATATACAATATGCCTGAAAATAATTTTCTAAATAAAATTTATTATTATTTGCTGTTGGGAATTATATTTAGTGACGGCAGCATTTTTTTTTATTAATTTTAAATATATAATATATTTAAAGACCCTCACTAAAATGAGAGAGCCAAAAATTACTTTTTTTTTTTAACTCAAAATAAGCATTGAGACTTCAATTATTCTCACATCAATTTAACTATAGTCTCGAATCTTCTTCTAAAATATCCACATTTAATTGTACCCACAGATGATGCAATTTCGTCTTTCATAGATTCATCAGTTCCATGGTAAATGTACTTAAACACAAACATTTTTTAGTATCCCGACTCTTTAAAACAAATATATACATACTTATATTACATACTAGAGGATCCAGCGAACTTCGTCTCACGCCATGAGTACTAGTCAAGTTGTTTTCCTTCGCGGCTCAACAATCATCATCGTAATAGCCATTTTTCGACCATTTTTGTCACTCTGAGGCTTATCGGCTGGCGCTTAGTTGGAGTGAGACGAAGTTCGCTGGATCCTCTAGTATGTAATATAAGTATGTATAATATATAACCAGAGGTGAAGACGGCAGCAAAACGTATTTATATGAAGACAAAAACGAATAAGGTCAAGATGTGTGAGCATGAAGAGCTCAAAAAGGTACGGCAACTTTTAGAAAATATAGAAGTGATCTAGCGATTGAAGTCCTTAATATACTGAATTAACGGAGGGAATACTTGTATGACGATTAGACAAATGTTTCATTGTCCGACTGAAAAGAAGAATTCGAATAGCAATTGCCCACACTTGATGCTTCCAATGGAGTGGAGGTCTTCCTCTTCCTCTGCTTCCTCCAGCGGGTATAAAAAAGCTCAACTGCTATCATCCATTTAGATCATATGACCTATTCAGCGAGCTGTTATCTCTTCCTTGACTGAAATAAGTAAATATCATCGCGTATAGCTCATCGTTTGGTCGTCTGCGTAGTTGTCAATGCACCAAAGAACAAAAATCATGCATACAACTTTTCTCTCGTAGACTCTTCTGTTGTTGACCTCGTCCATGATTCTGCCCCGTATAGTAGGACGGGTATGATTATCGACTTGTTTGGTTTTTGTTCGTCGAGAGTATTATTGGTGTTAGTGCTGGTACCTTGATAAACTAAATAACCGACTACCTCTAAACGGACTTTAAGCAACACCAAATGCTTCATCAGCATCGGGAAGGGCCTCACTGGTAAATCTCATGCGCTGTAGCGACAAACTATAACCATTCGGCTACCAATAGCGTCAACCAGAGAATGACCGTTAGCCGTGATGAGTTAGATATAATAACAACAATGTATGCTTATTACCATTATTGGTTAACTGTGGTTAACTCCTTAATCTACCCTTTCCCAGCAGGGTAATTGTTGAGTATGAATATGATGACTTTCTTATCCTGAAGTGTTGGATGTTGTCGCTCACATTTACCGCTTTTGGCGGATCATGTTTGGCGGAAGGATAGAGCAATATTTTTTCATAACAAGTCCAATTGTTCCTAAGAGAAGAGTTGTTAGGAGAAGTAAAGGAATGAAGGCTCGCCATGATTTATGTTTTAAAAATGATTTTGGGCAAGTGACCACCGCGCAGTGTCGTAGCCCCAATTTTAATCATTCGCCCGCGAATATTCTCTACAAAGGCGTCAATCGGCTCAGGCTTATCTGCGTAGACGTAGCCACTCCACATAACCTCACAAAAATTGGAATAGCGGTCTTAAATCACATGATTTTGAAGGCCAAAGCACACACAACTCGAAATAATACATTCATCGAAAGTCTCCTATAATAATCGGCTTATTTCGTTGGCTGTATAGTATGTAGCGCTGTTTTGTGGGTACCTAATATCCACAAAATTAAATTAAATTAATTAAATTAAATTTTCATGATTTGAAAACGTTATTGAAGAGTAAGTCTGTTCATTATGAAATGGATGGCCATTGCCAGCTGTGAAGAAGACCAACTCCGAAAGAAGTATTGCCTCATTGTATACCACACTTCTAAAAAGAACGTTAGTTACCACAAAATTATCAGTTTTCCTCGTCAAATATTGACTGAGAAGTACTAGTTAATATGCTGGTAGAGCCGGAGATGAGCTTTGAACACTACGTAAATCTTATTCTGCTTCAAAGTTTGCTAAGAATTTTTAGTGAAAAAATAATAATAAATGGCCATACGGTCAGTACAATAGGTCCAGATCAATGGCAGCTCAATATGATGTTGCTTAACATCTACAGGAATAACTAACTACCTTATGAAAGCCACTAACATTGCTCCCACACTTTCTCTTTGGTAAAAATTTATCAGCATTTCGCTCAATACACAGTAATCACTACTCAGACATAAGAAAAAATGCTGATCCATACTTATGATAAGCTTACACATATAATGGCTCTTAATCAACAATTTGTATTTTCCTCTCCAGTTCTCTTTAACACCTCCTTAATAAGCCGCAACACACGCAATTGCATATAAAGGGTGATTTTTTAAGAGCTATAGGAAAGTTTTTCAAAAAAAAAAAAAAAAAAAAAAAAAAAAACGCTTCAAATTCAGAAAAATGCATGAAATCTTTATTTGAATCGATAGTACGGTCCATATATTTTAGTGTTTGAAGATTATTTTATACAAATGTTGACCGTGACTGCGCCTCAAGTCCAATTTTCAATTCAATTGCATACTCTTTGCAACATTTCGGCCGGTATCTCACGAAGAAATGCTTCAATGTTATCCTCCAATGCGTCAATTGAGGCGAGCTTGTCTGCATAGACATTAGTTTTAACAGAGCCCCACAAAAAATAGTCGAAAGGCGTTAAATCGCACGATCTAGGAGGCCAATTGACCGGTACCGAACGTGAAATAAAATGTTCACCGAACTCGCCTCCCAATAAGTCCATTGTTAAGCGTGCTGTGTAACATGTGGTACCGTCTTGTTGAAACCACATGATATGCAAGTCGAGCTTTTGGATTTTGGGCAAAAAGAAAAGGTTGATATCATCACACGGTAGCGTTCAGCATTCACAGTTGCTTTACGATTCGCATCATCTTTGAAGAAATTCGGTACAATGATGCCACCAGCCCATAATCGGCACTAAACTGTGACTTCTGCTGGATGCATTGGTAGCTCTCGCTATGCCTCTGGCTGAGCCTCAATCCAAAATCGACAATGCTGCTTATTACGTAACCATTAAGCCGAAAATGAGCTTCATCGCTGAACACCTTTTTTTGGAACTTTCCTAACAGAGCACGCATTTTGATAATAAAATTCAATAATTTGCAAGCGTTTTTTTTTTTTGTTTATAAGAAGATGTTTGACAGTGATACAAAACACGAAACCACCGTCAGCTGATTAAATCAGTGTTGCCGAAAAGATAATTGCTAAAAAATCACCCTTTATATACATATGTATATATAATATGTATGTATATATGTAACTATTGGACAATTTATTCACCACTTCCATTCAACAGCATTTAACTAATTTTATTTGATTGAAACACGTGTCGTTGCATGCCTACTTACTGTTTATATATTCGCCATTGTATAGCCAGGACACGTCCGGACGTGGATCACCTTGTACCGAGCACTTGACCGTAGCGTCACGACCCTCACCCGCTGACTGCACCAGTTCCGTTTTGTCAAAGGAGATTTTTTCTTTATATTTTTTCCCCCGTTTTTTTCGTTTGGTTTTTTGGATTGTCATTCATTGTTTGTCGTTGTAAAATATATATGTATGTACGAGATGTTGTTAGCGTCCATGATGAGGTGGCAAGTAGATGAGTAGGCGAATTTTTATTTATTTAATTTTGTTTATATTTTTTTATTTTTTTTTATTTTAAATCCATTCGTAGTATTTTGACCACAATGGGCCAGACGGGTGAATGAGGATGAGTACCAAAATACATATAAATAAACCACAACAAAGTGTTTATTCGCACCAAGCAAGTATGAGTATGTATGTATGCGTGTTGGGTGAGGGCGTATGAGTAATTCAAGTGCGCAAAGTTAGTCGACCAAAGCAAAGGAATTACGATATGATGAAATGTTGTGTAAGCAAGTGTTTCGTAAGAGCATAAGCGAAAAGGAAAAAAGAGGAGAATTTAACACAATTTTTCGGTGTATAAGATTTCGGAGTATAAGTATCCTAAATAAATGTACTACTTAGGTTTATAATGAATGTATGTGTATGTGTTTATATGTGTATGTGTGTGTGTTGGTAGTGGATTTTGCCCAAATTGTAGAATAGATTACAACCTAATGATAAGTAAAGGCAATCCACAAGGCGTTTGTGACACTATGCACAATGTTTAAATAGGTATAAGTCTGTGCAGAGATTGTCTCGGCGTATGTAAGTATGTTTGTATGTGTGTGAGTATATGTAAGCAAACGAAATTGTAATTTCGGTTATATCACAGATTTTTATACCATTCATGAGTTTATTTATTATTGTTTTCTCAAAATGTATATGTAAAAGTGTTCAAAATTTTTTTTTTTAATTTTCAATCAAGCATAACATTAATATTAAGATTTCCCATCAAAAATGGCATTTTTGAAAATTTATTTGTAAGAGAGCGACATGTTGCATTAGTTGAATCTTAACGATTTCCACTGTTTTTGGCTATTGAGGACAAAAACTCTGTAAAATTTAATGTCGTTAGCTGCTTATTTACTGAAGTTATAATAGAAAATGTTGTTTTTGAGCATCAATTTGTATGACAGCTATATGCTTAGGGTTACAGATTATAATTATTTTTAGCGGAAAATATTTTACTTCTAATTACTATGATGTGTACTAAATTTTATGTGCTCAGCTGCTGATTTAAAGAAGTTATTATGGAATATGCAATTTTTGAACATCAATTTGTATGGCAGCTATATGCTCAGGGTTACAGATTATAATTATTTTCAAATGAAAATCTTTTACTTCTTATAACTGGGATGTCTACTAAATTTTATGCGCTTAGCTGCTGATTTAAAGAAGTTATAATAAAAAATATAATTTTTGAAAAATATTTTGTATTGGAGCTATATGCTATATGCTCCTGATCTTGATTAATTTTACTTGAAAAAATTTCACTTATTGAGACTAGGAACCAAGCTCAATTTCATACCCTTAGGTATTAAATTGAACAAGTTATAATCAAAACTATTATTTTGGAAACATATTTCGCATCAGGGCTATATAATTCAGGCTACAGATTATTAATATTTTTTGCTCAAAATAATTTAAGTGTTATGACTAAAAAAAAAACAAATCTCATGCTTTTAGAAGCTGAATTTAAAGTTTTTTTTTATTTTGAGCTGCAAATATTTTACTTTTTATGAAATTGAAGCGAGCTAAATTTCATGCTTTTTGCTGCTGTTTTAAAGATATTATAAAAAAATTGTAAAATTTTTTTCTTAATATTTTGTATGGGAACTTAAAGTTTTAAAGATTAAATTTTGATGATTTTCTGAAAAAACTTTTCGCTTATGATGGCTAAGAAGTAAGCGGAGTTTACAGGGATTGAGCTACGCAATAAACGAGTTACGCCAAAAAATCTCAATTTTGAAGAAAAATTTGTATGGCAGTTATATATATTAGGGCTCTTATTTGATATATGGCTAAGTAACAAAATAAATTTAATGCTCTTAAATATTGAATTGAAAAAAATAATTTTCGAAAAATATTGGGGGATTTTGAAATTTTTTACACTCAATATTGACTTTTATTTGTATTACATGATTTTGATATTTTTTTTTTTGATATTTTTTATTTTTTTTTTTGATATTTAAAAATATATATGAAACAATCTCACTTTCATGAATGGTATAATAACTCTTTGTATGTATGCATTCATGCCTGTGTGGACTGTGTGTATACACACACAGTCAAATATAAATTACACAAGATAAACCTGTACGGAAGTGAACGTACGATTTACGAGCAGCTCAAAAGACTTCCTCGCCTCGCTGCTGACCGCCACAGCATCCGGCGTTGATGACAACGATGTTGCTTCATTGTTGTTATTGTTGGTCAATGTAGCTTCACACGTCCAGTTGCCCTTGTCCGTCAGCGCAATGTGCTCAAAGACTAAAGCCAAAAATCCTGCATGGATGAAACGACAAGGGGAAGAAGAGAAGAAGAAAAAGCAGAAAGAAATTTGTAAAAATAAGACCAGAACAGATGACGAATCATGAGAAGAAGAAAAATAAGTAGAAGAAGAAGAAGAAAAATCAGTAGTGTCATATAAAAATGTAAATTAATATATTCGTATGTACATATGTATGTAGATATATAAGAAAGTATGTATGAATAAATGAATCGAAAGCGAAAATTTTTTACTTTACAAGCCTGTAATCCGTAAAGTTGCCAACAGCAACAGCAAGCGTCAATGAGCAAGAGGACCCACCGAAATCCATATATATATATATATTTATATGCACTCGTATATGTGTATTTGAACATATGTAAGCGGGATTTATGAAAGGATAATACTTTTGGAATTTCATTTTCTTTCACATGAAAAATTTGCATTTGTATTACAGTTGTTGATGCGGTTCGTTGGTTGGCTGATTGTTGGTTCGCTTGGTTGGTCTGGCGACTGGCGTCATTGTCATTGTTTTATTTCCTTAATTCAAACGTCAACATGTCAGCCGGAGGACAAAGCAGTGCGGAAGCTACTGAGGAGCGGAAATTTTAACAACTCTTTCAGGGGTACAAAAGTTGACGGCCTTCGGAACATAACTCAGCCAGAGCTATAAAAAATAACAAAAAAAATGTCCCTTCCATTTTCGGGAGGTTTTTAACCCGGAACCGATCAAGAGCTTTCGAGAGACGGCTTCCTTTGTGCAATGGTGTTTTTTTTAGGATTGAGTTGAGAAACAATGTTGGTTGATCTCAAAAAATCTCGAAGAATCTAGTCAGATAAAGTATCAATAAACAAGGACTGTTTTAATTAGCAACATTAAAAAGACATCTAGCGGTAAACGTGGCCAGCCTGACCAGAGTACACTACCTGCTTAATAGCATTAATTCGCCAATCCAGATTCTTGAAATCATCTTTATTGTAGTTGACTTTCATTTTTACTTTTTTGCAGGCTCTGCTCAACATCAAATCCTCTTCTTGCGTCCAACCGCATATAGAATCGTAAGAACTTTGATTCCGGCTTGTTTATCAAAGAAGAACCCTAATTAGCACATTTCTAAAGTAGGATAGGAGGGTATGACCTTTAAGATGACAGCATGAAAGCAGACCAGCGCAGAGTTGACTTATTTCGATACCACGATGTTCACCCGAACAAAAATCTTCACTTTACATCTATTTCGATTTTCTTATGACTTTAATAAGATTATTTTTGTCAAGGTGTCTACTACCCTAGATAAGGTGGTCGCAAAAAAAGATGAAAGATCAGTTCTTCCGTCTCGTCGTCATTACAGCAGTGAGGCATCTGTTCTGAGAGGAGCTTCTATCTCCTCTGCATGTCCTTCTATCCTGCAGTGGCTTTTTGACCTTGGGTACTACAAACGCTCTCTTTTTAATTCTTTTATTGGTGAGTACATTTCGCTGAACGTCTTCTGAATCCACTTCAGTCGAGTTTATCTAGGTTTACTGCAAGTCAGAGTAATCAGTGTACAATGCGTTTCTTTTCGGGAAAAATTTCCTTGGTTTTGCATTGCCTTATAAGTTTAGCCTCTCTCTTTCGTTCTCTCTTTACCTTTAAGAGGTTTATTCTGTTAGTCTACACTAGTAACTGTGTGCTTCTAGCAGACATCCTGTCTTTGAAAAACACTATGTGGCTTGGGTATCTAGTTCTTAAAGGAGGAGATTTCAGACAGTTTTAGTAATAAAAAAATAAGCTTCCTTTGATGTGGATACACTTTGTTTCCCAAGCCATCTGGTTAACTACACTTAGGAGTAGGCGAGACTATCCTATCTAGGTCATATACTGAGAGATCCGGGAAGCGTGCTAATTCAACGGGATCTAATCCAGAGAGAGAGGGATGTTAAATAAGTTGGTTCAAGACGGTTTGCAAAGATCTAGTTATTGTCGTACGTTGGCTCATTGTTGGCAGGACATGCATTGGGTATGTCGAGGACAAGTCTGGTTAAGTAGAAATTAAGTCGAGTCGAGTCGAGTCGACTGTATTACTCGGATCTTTCGAGACGCACGGGCTTTTCTTTTACAAAAGATGGTGTTTGGATTCCGAGTACGCTATTCGCTAGAAGAGAGTTCATGAAGGTGCTGACGAAGTCTCGGTGAATAATGTATGTAATTTCCTCATCTGTGTCCCGCTAATTTCCAGCGTCGAAATCGGAGCAGCACCTGGTATGTTGCGAGCAATTTTTCTTCTCATTTTCCTCAGAAGCTGCCGGTTAACGAATAAAGGATTTCGTTGTGGATCTTTACTTTAGTGACTTCCGGTGACTTTGGGCTGTCAACTATTGGTCGACCACATAGAATTCGAGCCGTTGCTTCATTCAGCTATTGAAACGGGGTGGCCGTGAATTTTGCATGTTGTAGCTTTAGATGATAGCAGTGTCCTGAACTGACTAGACACGCCGGAATTGACTCGGACTTTATCCGGCCGACCCTTACTCTTTGAACTCTTAACATTACGATAATATCAAACAAAAATTTGTTTTTATCAAAAGGCCCGACTCCACTGTCTTGACTTCTGAGCTTCGCCACAGCGGGCGGCGGCAATTGGACTATGCGAATCGCGCAGCGGAGAAGGCGTTGATGCCTGTGCATAATTCCATAGAGCTGTCAGTGGCAGTGAGTAAAAAGTGATGACGAGACGTCAACAGCATAAATGACATGGTTGAATACCCGTACATATATATGTATATATATACATATATATGTATGTTAATATCTATGAAAACATTTATGTTGGACACGCAGAAAAGGTTTAATTTGCTTTGGCGATGGAAGGAGACAGACATCATTAGTGTCTGTTCGTACTTTTGCGAGGCACGTAATTTGTTGGTCAGTTGCTGTTGTTGTTGATGATTTATTTTAAATCAATTATGCGTTATGATGTACGAGTAATTTTCTCAAGAAAAAAAATAGAAAATATTTTCAAAAAAGCAACAAAGAGACAAAACCACATAATTAACATTTTTTTTTTCAATTTTTTAGAAATACCGTTAATTGAGATAAATGCTTAATGCTTAGAGACAATAAATAATGAATCAATTATGAACAACAACAAAAAATATATTGCGTTTATGTCCCCCACTCACCCGTTTTCTTTTCGATATGCACGCGCCCCTTTGTGTTTTCTCTGGCCTTCCCCTTCGGGTCCTTCCATTTCGCACTCGCATCTTTTTGTACTGTTTTACAGAATATTATGAAGGAATCATTTACAAAATGTGTGATAGATGGCGTTGAGGGTGCCAATGTTAGCCAACTGTCATCCAATTGTCCGAGCACTGCAACTGTATGATAAAGAACAGGAAAGGGAATGTTATATTTCTCTGGGAAAGTGAAGGCAGAAAAGACTTCCATAATTATTCTAAAAATGGTGTGAACCCAAAATTAAATTATATTTCTATTTTAATTTATTCAATACTAAAAAGTACTAAATAAAGTTAAAAATATCAATGAAACGATATCGAAAAAATTTCTCCATGTGCGACTTCATGAAAATCGCCAACAGAACCGATATACAGAAAAAAAGCGCTAGGCGATTGAATTGATTTGATACTAATTACATACTATAAATAAAGGGTGTTCTTTTATACAAATGGGTTTCAAAGATGAGTTGTAGTTGTCCTATTTGACAGCTGATACTTACAATATTATACAACGCAATACACTTAATGCGCTCTTAATCTAAAATAGTTGGTAATGTGCATACTGTGGAGATGCACTAAAGACGATATTGGAGATGTGGAGCAGAGCATCGCTGAAGACCCGAATGCCCCGCGTATAGCAATTGGAGCTGTGCACAAGCACTTTATGGAAGATTTTTCGGAAGTACCTTGACTTGTGGATCTACAAAATCCAACTCGGGCAAGAATTGACCATCAAAAGTGTCGCACGTTCGGTGAATGGACCCAAAACCAGATGATCTCCTATGTCGAGATTCACAAGAACTTTTTGTTCAACGTTGATGCTTACTTTTTGACAAATGGATGGGTAATAAGCAAAATTGTCGCATTTTGAGTGACAAGAAATTTTTGAGACGCCGTTACTTCCTCAAAAAGTAATTGTTTGATCTCATCTATGGTCTCTGCTACTTTGAAAATGAAAGCGACCATAATGTTACGTTAACTCGTCATTAGCCTTAAGACCAACTTCTCACCATTAAGCGCGTTCGACATGGACAGGAAAAGATGGTAATCACTTGGTGCCAGGTCCGAACTATAAGGTGGGTGCTTCTGGCGTGTCACCAAAGACGTGTGTGGCATGGCTTTGTCCTGATGGAACACAATTCGGCTTCTGTTGATCAAAAATGTCCTCTTCTAGATGAGTGCTGCCTTCAAGTGGTCCATTTGTTGGCAGTAGAGCGCCGACGGAGCAGCTCGTAGTAGATGATTCCTTACCAATCCTACCAAACTCACAGCAAAATCTTCCTGGCCGTAAGTCCTGTCTTGGTCACTATTTCCGCCGGCTCACCGAATTTTGATCGCAACAGTTTTCATTTGACGTTGTCATAAATTATCCACTTTTCATCGCAAGTCACAATCCGCTTCAGAAATGGGTCGATTTTGTTGCGATTCAGCAGCGATTCGTAAATGGAAATTCGGTATATCATGTTTTTCCGTTAGTTCGTGTGGCACCCAAACATCGAGCTTTTTTTTTTGAATTGAGGTTATGCAAACGGTTCCAAACGGGTTTTTTGTAAAATATAGCGAAACAGATGGAGTAACCTGGCCTCCTATGCTATTGTTTATTATTTGATGTCCTCAGAGAGGTTGACATTCTCTGAAGGAAAAAGACGATATTCGGATGAAATAAGCTGCCTTCTAAGCAGCTTGTGTTTTAATTTGTGTTTGAAATTTTGCATACTTTTTTGGACAGAATTTTCCACAGGTATGGAATCTTATAAAGTCCAATTGGTTCAAGAACTCGGAAAAGCCACATGCACCCAGTCTACAGAAGTGCCACTGTATTCTTAACGTGTAGCTGTAGGATGTAACATGTTAACCGGCGGAGAACCCGTCAACGTTCATGTCAATCATTGCCATGTCACGTCCAGAGATTATTTGTTTCCAGATGTCGAAGAGAATGACATGAGCCATCTGTGGTTTCAACAGAACGGCTTTATGTGCCACACAGTCTATACTTTGCGCACAAATTAGTCGTTGTCGCCTGACCGCCTCTCAGCTGTGATTGTACCCCATTGAATTTTTTTTTTTGGAGAGCATTTCAGGGCCGATTTTATGCAGTGAACATTTACTGATATTTTTAGGTCTTTAGTAAAGAGCTCTTGTGTTAAAATTGTTAAAAAGAAGTCAATAACAGGTTTTTCCTGGCAACATTTGTAGAATTTTCGTTTCGGATCACTTAAACCTGTCGTTTGATCTGCTATGTCAACTCCTCTTCTATTCTCCGTATAAAATTTTATATTTTTTGGGGAAGGTGTAGGTATTTTTTATATATTCTTCGTTCATTTCCCATTTCATTATATTCATTTGGGTATGCATTACTATTAATTTTCGATAATAATCGTTGATACCGCCTAAAAAACATTGTGCGATAGTCAACCGCCGGATCACACTCCATAAGCTAAGCTAATATATCTTTTCGGCAGGCCATCTTTTGGAAGCAACTTCAATCCTCCCCGCGAATTCTCTTTTTCTCCGCTACATTTGTTACACTAAACACCGGTCCCTCGATGTGTACGTTTTGTGGATGAGAAAAAATTCGACCGAAGCCATATTGGATGATCGCTCAAGCGCTTTTTATGCAAATGTCCGAAGGTGAATACCGCCGACGACAGAAAAATGAGCTTTACGAGATATACGATGATATTGGCATAATGTAGTTTAGCAAATTCAGATGCAACGGCTATGGTAATTAGGTCACGTCTACCAGAGAGAAGAAAACACTCCACTCTGCATGTATTTGACGAGGTACTCGCTGGTGCAAGCAGTGGACGAGGTACCCGCTGGTGCAAGCAGTGGACGAGGAAGACCTTTGCTCCGGTAGAATGATCATATAGAAAAGGATTTGGTTTTACTAGTGGTCTTCGAAAAGTCGGCAATAATCGCTTAAGCAATGGCCTTACCTAGTTCAGAGTGTGCTCTTGGTTGAATTCAAACAAAAGTTTCGCGAAGAACTATTTTACGGAAGCAATCTGCTAAATCACGTACAAAAATACTGAAAAAGTTCTCGGGACATTAGATGATATTCTTCTGTTCAGGAAATGATGAAAAGTGTACAACTCGTTTCACATGAAGCTTCTCTTATTCCTCAATTTCACTTTACAAAGTAATTCCTTACTTCATACACACATATATATGGATTTCATTAAATCCCTACGCAAACTAAATTTCTCATTACCAAAACGAACAAAACGAAACTTATTTACCAGATTTTTACAATCATATAAAGTTTCGCCAAAATAATAGAGCAGTAAAGATTTCTTAAGAAAGGACTTTATACCATTACTGAACACACTTTTTTATGCGCAAAAACTCTATTTACCTAAAATCAGATATAAAAAAAAGAGTTGCATGTTCTTCAATGCTGCAAACTTCCTTTTCTTTCAAAGTGAATTTGTTGTCAATACTCGTAAATGACGCAATGCGCTAAAATATTGCATTTGCCTGAGTTTACTGCCGGGAGTACGGCGGAGGCTGACGACGAATTGATGCAGCAAACTGTGAACTCTACACACACACACATATATACATACTTGTAGCGCAATCGATGTGCCATAAATATTTGTAGTTAAAAGAGTGAAAAGAAATCGTTAAACGATTCTTACACAGAAATATACATACATATTTGTAAGTACAACGTCCAGTCGAATTGTTCATTTGATTTTCAAAGTGTTGCAAACAGTTTTTGTAGAATAATAAAAAATAGTTAATATTGTAAAAGTAATAAATGAAGTAGATGAAACGCGAAACACAAAGGTAGTAAATTTACAATGTTTGTTCGTTATTGCGTATTAAATTGTAAGGAAATCGGGTAATAGCCAATAATTCATACATTTTAATGGCATTCGCTATTTTGACGAAAGAAAATTATAAGAAAAATTTGCAAATGAAATGAAATCACGTCACCTGCCTAAACTAAAAATTGTTAGAAGTTATTGTATTTATGAAAGTAATGGAAAAGGTTTTTTATGTAATTTTGCTTTTCATTATTTTATTTTTATTTGTAAGTAATTTAATTTTATTTTGTTGATTTTTTTTCATTTTATTTTTTACATTTTATTTAATTTTTTTTATTTTCTTCTATTAAATATCATTTTGCTTCACAGTATTTTGCTATTATTTAATTTTTTACTTTTTTAATTATATATTATTTATTCATTTAATTTTTTTATAATATTTAAAATTTTCGTTTAGGTTTTTTCATATTTTTTTTCTAATTTAATTTCCTTTTACTGACTTTATTTTGACATTTTTTTGCTCGTATTTAATTTAATTTGTATTATCTTTTCATGTACAACCTTTTGATTTTAAATCACTATTTGGTTTTCATATTTTTTACAATAATTTATATTATTTTTTAGTGGATTATTTTATTATTACTAAATCTTTTTATTTTGCTTTAATGCTATTTTAATTTTTTTTTTAATATTATTTTAGTTTATTTTTATGCAATTTGTTTAATTTTATCTTTTCTAAGCTGTATTTTATTTTTATCAATTTTATTTCATACCTTCTAAATTTTTTTAGCTTACATCTTTTAATTTTTCTTTATTTTATGCACTTTTCACTTATTTTTTTATTATCTATATTCTTTTTATCAATTTTATTTCATGCCTTCTAAATTTTTTTTGCTTACATCTTTTAATTTTTCTTTATTTTATTGCACTTTTAATTTAATTTTTTTATTTTCTATATTCTTTTATTTTATTTACATAATTTCGTTTTCTTACTTCGCATAATTTATTTCAGTTTAATATTCATGTTTTAAATTTTTCTATCTTCATCTTTTTATTTATTTTTTTCATTTTATAAAATTTTGCTTTTGTTAATAATTAAAAAATATATAATTTAATTTATTTTATATCCTTTCATTTAATTTTCACTTTTATTTTAATTCGATTTTTTTTATTAATTTTCATTTTATCTTATTTTTATAATTTATTTTCTTCTTTTTAATTTTTTAACAAACAAATTTCTTTTCTTTCTATTTTTTATTTGAATTTACATTAACATTTTCTTTGGTTTTTTTTGAATTTCTATTTATTTCCTTTTATTTTTTCTTTTTATTTTTCTTTTTACCCCCAATTTTATTCGAATATAATGGT